TAAGAATTGTTTTGGAACGAAGTATGACTCATCTTCCTGATCTAACCATTTCAACAATTCATGACTCCTCTTCTTAGTCATAATAATGCACTAAGATGACCTTTAGAGGACTAATTGTGATATGATTTCTAAATCATTAAGATGATCACAAACATGATACTAAAGTACTCTCCCATCTTTTCAGATTTGAGAAACTTTTATCTTTCTGCCTAATTTGATTCTTCCCATTCGTTCTGCCATACATTGAGACTTTTCCAATGTTTCAGAATTATACTTAAACTTGTAAGTATAACCATATTTACTAAACTTTAGTAAAACAAATAGTCTTAACGAGCTTTGTGGTGGACATGACCAGTGCACAAGAATGTGTACTCGATCCCTTTAGTCCTTCACTTGACTCACACATCCATGTGAACAAGTAATTAGTCTTGATTTTCCAATGCTTGAAAGTTCTCATTCATCATACTATTCAACTTGCATGATTCCAAGTTTCGGTCCAATTGAAACTTGGGTGATGAGGAACTTTCCTGATTTGGTAAATTTAGACACTACCACAAATGAAAGAATCAAATCCATTTTCCAATATTGCTGTCAGTGGAATCATATAAGCAACAATTTTCTTTTATTTTAAAACTTTGCGGAAAAACTTATCCTTACAATCCACATGGAAAATTGTTGTTATCTATTCCTTAGCAATATATCATAACTTCTTAAGCAACTGCTCAAAATTCTGATGCGATCAAAATCCACCTTCGCAATCAGAATCAGCATATACTTCCTTTAAGATTTCTCTCTATTCTTTGATTCTTAAAACATCAACATGTGACCCAGTCACATCATGTAATGAGGATCTCAGAATAGAACTTAACAGAGTTAGATAATGGGCTCTACCTGATGTAGAGTCAAACTTATTGACTTTAACATCCTTAGGTAAATTTAGCAGCTTTGCAATCAACGCCCCTTCCTTTGGCAAAATAAACATATGGACCCTTTGGTAATGGGACTATCTCAGACTTAGCCTTTCTCTTTACCATTTGGTCAACCGGGTTGACTATGGCCAATCCCTTTCCATTGGGAAGAGAATGCTTTTTCTGGATTTCCAGTGTCACCATTGTCACTGTCCATAAAGTTTTTGGGAAGTTGATCTTCTAATCAAATTTGCTTTACTATCGTTCCAAATCATTGCTGATTCAGCACCAAGCAAATAGATATGATCATTAAGGTTCATGTCATAGTCTGTTTCATAGTAGTCCCAAAGGAACTCACTATGTGACTTAGAAAGTGATTGAACATCCAACTTTCTCAAGACTTTGACACCCAACTCTCCCGGCTTGTCAATATGTGACTTCATCTCTAAGATGTGATCACACATAGACCTTGCTTGCCATTAGGGCTTGAGTGACCTTGAACTTGTGGGTTAGGGAGAATAATTGGAGGAGGTGGAGGAAGAGAAGTATGACTTCCATGAGCCAAACTCGGGAAGTCATATTCATTAGGAAAGCTTGGCTTGGGAAGATCATTGTTGTCTAAACCAGACATCAACAATCGGATAAATTCACGTAAAGTTGATTTAAGTCCTTAATATAACACCCAATATGATATATTAAGGCTAGGACCCAACAAACTATTTTATAACTTGGAAGAGGGATGTCGTAATCCAAGCTATAAAATATTTGAAGGTAGGTGAATGACGATTCACCAATTTCCACCAAGATAAACGAAATGTATTATTAGGTTTTAATTGGTTTTGAAACTCCTAGATTCTTTTGAGATTCATTGAACTTTTCAATGGCATGTTTCAATCTCGAGTGTGCCCTTCAGGTTTTGTGACTGGGATGCCGAGGATCACAAAACAAGGTGTGAAGTAACCATGCAAATATACTTGGTACCCTTAATATTTACCCCTCAATCGATGTGCCGGTTAACCACACACGCTCCAACGATACTATGATAAACATTAAGTTACCCTTTGCCTACCTTGTTAAGTCCAGGTTAGTGTGCCGGTTAACCACACACGCTCCACTAACAGCTTAAACAAAGTGCAAAGTGTAATTTCATGGATTAGCACCTTATTCATATTTTCCTAAGTAACTAAGATTGGGAATTTATAAGTGTTTAGTTACTTAGTATTTATCATTATACTTATAATGAAGGGAGAATTATAGTCCTTGTCCTACCTGTTCGGCTAACGACCCTCCACCGGTCAAGGAAGCGGTGAGTAAGAGTGGACACCCATTAAACTGCCATTTTATGGGCAGTAACCTTATACCCCACTTATAGACCGGCTTCGTGAATGAGGCCTACTAATGGTAAGACGACTTGCTCTTATACATATAATATATTAAACTTTTAATATTATAATAGTATAAGGGTGTATTTTAGACATTTAAAATACTTGATGGTTTAATCTATTAATTAAACTATACTCTTAATTTAATTAAATTTAAACCATGTCATTATGGAATTATTAATTCTCTTTTAATTAAACACTTTAATTATCTATTAATAAAGTCCATAAGAGTTAATTGAATTATTCAATAAAAAACATCATAATTCCAATTATTAAATTCAAAATTAAAACCATTTAATTAATTGTTTAAGTTATGAACCCAAGAGTTTTAGAATTCAATTCTTTTTTTATCATAAAAAAACTTTTTCCAAATTCCAAAACTTGAGGGCAAGTTTTGTAACTCTTGAAAACTTTTGGATTCCATAACTTATGGAGTTAAATACTTGTTTTATGATGAAACTTTTCATATTCCATAACTTAGGAACAAGTTATGGAATTCTTTAAAACATTAAGACCAAGTTTTGTAACTCCATAAAAAACTTTGAATCAATTTTTTTAAAAACCTTTTCATATCCATAACTTATGGAGGTTTCAAAAAACTCTTTAGATCAAACTTTTAAAACTAATAAAATAATCATATCATTTTATCTTTTACTAAATTTGACCTAATTCAACTCATATAGCAAATGATTCAAATTTTACAAATAATTAGTTTTTCACAAAAACAAGTAATTATCTTAAAATTTGACAAACGTCATGTTCTTTTTTTCTTTTTTTTCCAACTTTGAAAATAAAACATTTGCATCAATATAACAGAAAACAACCCATGGCTCTGACACCACTGTTGGGTTTTGAGCATTCTAACACTCCTATGGTGTACATGCAACCCTATAAACCTTGGATCTATGTTTTCTCTATTATACATGCAAATATTAACTATTCCAAGGTTTCATCCTAACTAGCATATTATGAAGCACCTATACTACAAAGTTCTAGTTAGATGACATACCTTTTGATATAGCTTGATGTCTTCAAGCTTTAAGAGCTTAGCCCCAATAGTGTGGAAGCTTCAAATGGAATCACAAATCACCAAAACACCTTGGAAGAACTTGAGAGAATATGTATGCACACTAAAATCGGTCCACTCTTATTTTCACACACTTGTGCCAATTTTGTGAGCCAAGGACCCCTTTATATGGAGGATTAGGGTTACATCCATGTAAACCCTAATACCCATGACCTTTCATTTACATAGGATCCATGGGTTAAAAGCTCCATGGACCATCCATGAAAGCTTAGCCCAACCTAAATGAACTTGGCCCATTCCATATATATAAGAGTCCATATTTAATTAGTTCTTTTTTATCACTTAATTAATTCTAAATTAATTCTTGATCAATACTAATTAAATAATATGATTCCATATTAATATATTAGAACTTATAATATATTAATAGAAATCATAAATATACTATTCTCAAAAGACTATCCATATAAATTGTGCCGGTGAAGTGCAACCCAAATGGACCATGCCGGGTCGGGTCAAGTACATACCAAATATAGTTATGGACCTAGACATTAATCCAACAGTTACAACTCCAAGATCTCCGATGAAGTTCTTCAACCAAATTGCTTCCTTCGATGCTTCACTCGCTTCTATGTACTCTAATTCACAAGTAGAATCAGCTACCGTTTCTTGCTTGGATTTTTTCCAAGTAATTGCTCCTCCATTTAAGGTAAACACCCCAGCCAGATTGAGAATGGAAGTTGTCTCTGTCTGTTTGAAAGTTGGCATCACTATACCTTGTTACTCTCAATGTATCACTGCCACGAAATACTAGGAATCAATCCTTATTTCTTCACAGATACTTGAGAATATTCTTAACTACTATCCAATGAGCTTTACCTGGATTTCCCTGATAACGATTGACCATTCTCAAAGCAAAGGACACATCATGGCGAGTACTTGTCATGGCATACATGATCGCTCCAACGGTGGAAGCATATAGAATCTGGCTCATTTTGCTATCTCTGCATCAGTACTCGAACTATGAGTCTTACTCAGTTTGGTATTACTCTGGATGAGCAGTTCTCCTTTCTTGGAATTTTCCATACTAAAACATTTTAGCACATTTTCCAAATATGTACTTTGACTAAGTCCAGTTAGTCTTTTACTCCTGTCTTTTAGAATTATTATCCCCAAAATATAAGCAACCTCACTTAGGTCCTTCATAGCGACACACTTTCCAAGCCAGTACTTAACATCTTGCTAAGTTGGAATGTCGTTTCCTACAAGAAGTATGTCATCAACATACAATACTAGGAATGTTACTATACGACCACTAGCTTTGACATATACACACGACTCATCTTTACTTCTAGAGAATCCAAACTCTTTGACCTTATCGTTGAAACAAAGATTCCATCTGCGAGAAACTTGTTTCAACCCATAGATGGACTTCTCAAGCTTGCACACTCTATTGAGAAACTTTGCATCATCAAAACCCTCTGGCTGGCTGATGTAAACATCCTCAGCCAACTTCCCATTAAGGAAAGCGGTTTTGATATCCATATGCCAAATTTCATAGTCATGAAAAGCAGCCATGGCTGGCATGATCCTCATAGATTTGGTGAGGATCGGGACGCTTTTAAAGACTTCCACTTCAGTCGTTTCAATGTCCAACAAGAAAGTGATGAAGATGATGCTCCAATGACAGCGAGACAGTTCAAGGCCCTAAATTCCAAGTTGGATTCTTTACTTGAGTTCACCAAAGCCTCTTCCATCAACGGATATCCCAGGCTTCTGTCAAAGCTCACTTTCACCAACAACGCTATTGCTCATTCCAAAAAGACATGTACGGATACGACCGAAAAAGTCGATAAACTACTTTCTGACATTAAAACCTTTATGGAGGATTTCCGCTCTTCTTCCGAGCGCAATACTGCATCTGTGAACACAGCTATAAACAGTCTTGTGTCAACTCTGCAATCCAAAAAGGCGGCTCTTACGAAGGTTCACACTGAGCTTCAAACTAATCATTCGGAGTTCCAAACTTCCATCTCCTCTAAAATTGAAAAACTTTGAAAAGATTTGGCTCTTGAAAACAAGATAATGGATGAGCTCGCAGTTAAAACTGAGAAGGTGAAGGTTCTCTTAGTACAGTTATCTTTAGCAAATAAGCAGATTGACGAACTCAAATCCGAGAAGGCTGTCATCAAAAGTTGTGTTGCTGATGTGAACGCTAATTTGCACAGTCTAATTGAGACTCGTGATTCTCTCCTCACAGTCTCCGTTCATCATCATCTGTCTGAGAAATTAAATCCTATCTTCTCCATGATAGACAAAATTCAGGGTGTTTCAGAATCTTCTATTCCAAAACAAGGGGAGAAACGGCAAAGACTTGTGGTGCTGGTAAAGGAGGTGAAGATGAACATGAACAAAAACCCAAGTCTGATCTAAAGGATAATGAACCTTCGGCATCAAAAGGGAAAGAAAATATTGTTTATGATTATGGTGAGGATGAAGAGGATAAAACTGATAAGTTAAAGCGTAAAGCTTGCGATGCTGAACTGGATGAAAACTTATGAGTCGCTAAAGAGGCTGAGGAAAAATAGAAGGCAGCTCGTGAAGCTGATGATACATTGAAAACTCAGAAGACTCTTTTTCCTTTATGGACATTAGAGCGAATTCTGAATGAAGCCATCGATAATCCGAATGCTTTTTTGTTAGAGCCTATTGCGTCTTTCAAATTGGAGAACTCTCCAGATTCGCAACTTGATTTGCCAATCACTCCGAAGGCCTTTCAGTTTTGTTGTTTTGAAAAGATTGTGAATGCTCCTATTCCAGATCGTGATGTTGATCAGACACACTTTTCATTCTTCCAAAAGCATATGAAACCACAATACGAAATGTGTAGCTCAAAGAAGATCACAGCGGTCAAGGTGTTCGGACCAATTGAAACTGAGAGCTTCATTAATGCTCGTTTCAAGATTGCCCGTAGGGCTGCGAGTTCAACGTTTGAATTTACTCTCGTAGATATGCCCTGCCTCAACCCATTTGATTGGATTTATTTGTTACTTCTACTGGTGAAGGATCAATAGAAATTCGAGCCTATCATTGCACATCTGAAATGAATGTTGGTTTGCTACATCAATGAGGTTGGAAATATGGACGTGGAGATTGCCTCTGTTCTAAATAAGAAACCTACAGTTCTCCCCATGGAGCCTCCGAAGGATCTTGATACGATGAAATTGGGGAGGATACGAAAGAAGGATTGGAGTGTCTCTTTTTCAGATAAGAGAAAGACCTGATGTGAACTTTCACAAAGTTTGCTTCTATTTCCCAGACAAACATCTATACTCCTCTTTCGGTCTAGAATATATTGTGGATTTTGTGAGTTAGAACAAAGCGAACAATGTTGCAGACAAGAAATGCTTTTCTGACACGATCGATTGGTACATCCTGGTTCGCAAGTATTTGTTGGGCATAATGCCAAAGTTGTTCAAAGTTCAAAAGCGTCAACAATAATGAATAATCTGCCTTCCTTATTGACACAAAGGGGGAGATTGTTGGGTTTATTTTGTGTTGTGTCAATATTGTTTTTTAATGTTTTAGTCCATCTTTGTAACAGGTTGGGCCTGTCCACCTGGTTTTTAATGTGCTAGGGTTAGACTATTTATAGTGCATGCATGCACCTTGATTAGTATCGATTGTACTTACCCTAAACTGCCTTTACAGTAGAAGTTCTTTATCGAGCTCTTCTAAGGCAGTGATTTTAATCATTCAACACATTTTCGATCATTGTGTTCTTGACTTTAATTCATTTACTTGTTTAGATTCTATCGATCTATTGTTATTATTCTAACATATTCGAGTTCGGTTGGGGAGTTTGGTTGAGTGCGTGTTTGAATCTGGATGGTGTTCGGATTGATAGATTAGCGGTAAGACCATGAGCGGTGGATATGGCAAAGTGGGAGTGTTGTAAGATTATGGGGGTGACCCATAGCATTCACTAGTTAGTGGTTAGTGTGGGAGTGTTGTAAGACTGCGGGGTGACCCCGTAACATTTACCGATCTCTGTGCAGTGGTGAGGGTGTGGCAAATCCTTGATTGGTCACATTTTTCTTCAGATGGTTTAGACCAGGGTGGATCGGTTCGCAAGGTTGTGGGATGGCCACAACATGTCGGAATCAGAAATCGGTATGTCGTTGGAGACCAGGTATGATGTGAGACTGCAGTTGGTCAGGTAGCATTCTTTTAGCATTGGATTTGATGGCGAGATGGCTTGGGCAATTAGTTCCTAGATAAGGTTTCTCTCGGGAGCCACGTGGGGCGACTGTGTATGTGTGTCCTTTGACCGAGCAATCGGGCAAGAGTCCGGTGTTTCAGGTATTTGTCAAACAAGTTGGAACCAGGAAGGTCCCGGCTACTTTTCGAAAGCAGCTAGGGGCGGCGAGATTAGTCAGATTGTTATTCAGGGCATATTCTAAGTCGCTTGCACTGGATTAAATAATTTCAGAGTGGTTGATTTTACCCTGTTACGCAGCTTTCATCTGAGTCTAACCATTGCAGGGATGAATCTTCTACTCGAAGGATTATCTGAGCCTCCTGTCAAGTATAAGTGTTTTGCATCTGTTTATAATAAGTGATTTTTTTCCCTATGGAGGCATAAAATAATCATGATTGGAAGTGTTTAGGTTTAGCCTGATATTCAATAAGGATTCGATATAGCAATGATTCAGTATAGGCGGTCTGTCAGGGAGTCAGATCAATTTGAGAATTCGAGATTTTAGGTTTCAGGTAAGGTATGGCTGATTATCTGCATGGGATTATGGATTGTCCTTCTTTGGGTTTGGAGAGTTTTGTTATGGTTGCGTTCGGTAACCTTGGGATGGTCATTGTGTGACTGGAATTGTGGTTGTCTTTTTCAGGCTGTCTGGCGTGCTTGGGAATGGTAAGGAATGATTTCGAGGACAAAATCTAATTTAAGTGGGCGATAATTGTAACACTTGATATCCGGTATGAAGTTTTTCCAAGTTGTTTAAGTTTTCTCTTTGGGACACGTCGTGTTAAAGCCTCAACACGGCGTGTCAATATGCTTTTGGTCGTGGAGTTTAATGAACCAACACGGCGTGTTGGCAGCTGGGAAGGAAACCTTAATTTTTAGGGTGTTGCACCCTATTTAAAAACCTTAAGTTCCCTTGACCGGCCTCCCTACCAGCCTCCTTTGTTACCTAAAACCATAAATCAAGTATTGAGCTTTCTTGGTGGTGTCCTTGAAGTTTTGAGTGGATTCATATGGATTTTTGTACTCATTTGAAGGAGCTTTGGAATTTGAAGGTGCCTAGCTTAGAAGGAAGACAATAGATCCAGAATCTCACCACTTGTTGAAGTCTCCTTGAGGTATCAAGTTCATACCTTGCTTTGTTGTTGATTAGATCTTCTTATGGGGTTTTATTTCGATTTCGGTCTCCTTTTTGGATCGTTGGATGATTTGGGTTGTTTAAGGGACTGTCCTTTCAAATTTGGGTTGTTCTGGTATCCTTGAGCATAAAGGTGCAAGATTTATGTGAAGAATGGTGTCATGCATGCTTCAAGTCCTCTATTAAGTCCCTTTTTAGCTTAAAAGCTTCATTTAGTCATATATGGACGCAAAGTTGGAAACTTTACGTGATAATCCAGCTCAAGGAGGTCAGATCTATGTTTTAGGGCCAAGCCTTTATGGATTAAGTGCATAATGGTTGAGTTGTTGAATCTTGGGAAAACACGTCGTGTTTGCAGGCCAACACGATGTGTTGGATAAGGATTTCCTGATTATCTAGATGTTGGAAGAACACGGCATGTCCATGAGGTAACACGGCGTGTTGGGTCAACATAGACTGTTGACCTTGACTTTGACTTTTTCAGTTGACGAGGGTTGACCATTGGATATTCTGGATTTGGGCCTTATTAGGCCTTATGGTGTTATTGCAGGTTTGGGCTATCATGTGGGCTTGTATTGCTTGGGGTTTTGTTGGACCAGCTGAGAATATGATTTTGGGTTAGGAAAGGTTAATGGGTTTTAGGGTAAGGCCCATGTAAGGGTTTGGGCCCAATTTGGAAAATTGGGCCATTATTGGGCTTTGGATGATTATTGGTTTGAGGGAAATTAAGATTGTGAATTTGGGCCTTAGTCTAGGACCAAACTAGGTGAGGGGTAAAATGGTCTTTTTACCCCATGTACGGACTATTGGGTGTTATTTGTTTGATAGCGCGTTTGGTTTGGAACCCGATTGTTAATTGGGTGTTATTTGTTTGATAGCGCGGGGATTCTAGAGGATCAGCAGTCAGAGATCTATTGCGGGTTCATATGGCGAGGTGAGTCTCCTCACTGTTCTATGGGTCGAAGGCACCAATGCTGGGCCATTTGGTTTATGTATTGTAGGAAGATCTATGGATAGCCCTTGGCATTTTGTATGAAAGACTAGGAGGAGGCTCCTGGCAAACTGTATGCAAGACTAGAGTCTGAACTCTGGCAGTTATTAGTTAAGTAGTTGTAGATTTTATGCTAGTTGTCTTTGTGATGTTTTCATGAAAGACCAGGAGGTGGCTCCTGGCATTTGTCTGTAAGACCCAGGGTGTTGGCCCCCGACCTGGCATGGAAGACCACGAGGCGGCTAGTGGCATAATGGCAAGACTATGGTTGGCACATAGCACATTTATTGATTGATTGGTTATGTATGGCATGTATGGCTCGTTTGATATGTATGGTATGTGGTATTTGGGGAACTCACTAAGCTTTGTGCTTACAGTTGTGGTTTATGGTTTCAGGTACTTCCAGTTCGAATAAGAAAGGTCCGGCTTGATCGCAGCGCATACACCCGTGTTTTCCGCAATTCATCATTTTTACATAGTGCAAAGTACACAATCAATTAGTGAGGATAAATTGGTTCCTATTCAAGATGTTATTTCTAGGTCGGTATTAATTTATAACCTCTTGTGTGGTAGTTAATTTGTGAAAGATGATTACAAGTAATATTAAAATAATGTTACAAGCTTTTTTTTGAATAAAACAGTTAGGGTATAGTTGTAAAATTGTAATTGAT